TTAAAAGGCAGAATTTGAAATGATTCTACAGAAAAAGAGTTCTCGAGGTTTGGATGCTTTTAATGCAAAATTGTGAAGTTTGAGGGCAAGGGTCTTGAAAGACAGTAATGGGTGAATGCAATGTCCACCTTTAGAAAACTCCTGCCATTAATGACAGGATGTGAGGAAGGAGAACAATCTGGCCAATACTATTCATAAAACACAGGCTGAGTCCAGGAAAAAGTGAATTCTTTGAGCAGAACTTAAAGTGTGGTTGGCCCAATTGATATGCAAGGGTAAGGAAGAAGCTCTTAATTAGTTCTGGATTTCTTTCCCAGACATGCCCATGGCCTGCTCCTCCTACAGAGTATGCAGATCATCCCAGGGAAGCGGTTTCTGCTCTCCCTTGGGCCAGCACTGGAAATGGGTAAGGTGCTGCCAGAGCAAATTCTCCCCTAGGCAGCCCCCAAACTGTGCCACGAAGCCGACTAAGCAGGACTTCAGCTGCCACCCTCCCCTCATTATCTTCCCTGGTCCTAGCTGCTCCTTCAGAAGATACTGCTCTTTGGGGAACTATCACAGTTTTTTTGAACCAAAAGACAGACTCTTTTGAGAAATGACATGGCAAAATGTCAGGAAAGAAAGAAAAGATTATAAGAAAGTTTAAAATTCAAAACAAAATAATTAATTGGCTTTAGGCGAACCTTTATAACCTCAATCTTTGAATTTTCTTCCTCCTTGGGAACAAGTGCTTCTGTGCTGCCAACAGAAATGAGATGTGATTTCTTCTAAGTCATTACTGTGATCTCCGTCACAAAAGAGCAAAGGCAGTAATTAGTACACCACATCAAACCAGCCTCGAATTTGGCAAAAACTGTGTTTGTCCTTTGCAGAGCTAAAATAAAGCACTTCTAATTCTTAGAACGTTCCCACAACTTGCTGTCATTTGGCAGAAGTTTCTGGAGTTGTTACTTCTGATAGATCTTTCTTGCTGTTAATATTTTTAAAACAAAAACCAAAATACAATCTTTAAAAAAATTAACAAGTAGCACTACATGACCTTTAGTGTGAGATCACCATTAGAAAGCATTAAATGTAAGGGGACAGGGCAAAAATTAGAGATATCTTGTTAGTTTCTTGGCCACACTGAGGTCCAGGTATTCTCCAGAAAGCTGCTGGGAATTTCCAGAGTGACTAGGACAGTTGGTCAATGAGGGCAAAATCCTCTAGTGAAGCTGGACACTAGTAACTCTTTTTCGAACAGTTTCTCAGTAACCACAGAAGTACTGGTGCCCATCTAAGATACAGGTGTGGTAGACCCACCCGAGCAGAACAGCTTTGTTAGAAGGTCATCCAGCCATCTAGAATGTGATCATAAATGTTGGGTCACACTTCACCCAGTTTTGTGGCCCTGTGAGAGCTTCCAGGATGTGGTGCAAGGAAGGGTACCCAGACTTCCTGATTGGAGGCAACAGAGCTAAGATCCTAGGAGACCAAGGCTGCTGGAGCCCACAGGACAGAGGAAGAGAGAAGGGAGCTGCACAGAGAGATCCGCGATCTATAGAGGGTCTCCCTAAAACACACAGCTGCGTTCACTGCTAACTTTTTATAGTCACTTTAATCCTTCAGCCCCAGAAATGTTGAGTGTCAGATACCACACAAGTTAAATGTTTCTTGTGAATGTGTAATGATCACAACAGAATTTACCCATCATCACTATTGTTTCATCTGGAAAATAACATCTGTGTACTAATCTAAAGATCCCTGGGCTGAGGTAAGATATTTTATCCACGTTCTGCCAACAAATCAATTTCTTCATATAAAAATAAAGCAGATAATACTGATCCATGTTGTCTCACATGAATGTGGTCTAGGTGACAATATTTTTTAAAACATGTTTTTTTTTTCCCCTCAGAGAAAAGAAAGCACTGTGTGACTTAATCTGTGCCATCACTATCCATCTTAGCAGCCACTAAATACACATGGCTACTTAAATTTAAATTAATTAAAAGTAAATAAGATTTTATTTTTTATTGAATTTATTGGGGTGACATTGGCTAATAAAACCATGCAGGTTTCAAGTGTACAGCTTGACGAATCACCTGTGTAAAATTTTAAAAGGCGATTCCTCAGTTGCATTTGCTGTCTTTCAGGAGCCCAATAGCCACATGTGGCAATTGACTACCGTTTTGAATGGCCCGGATATAGAATGCTGCCATCAGTGTAAAAAAAAGTCCTATTAAAAAGTGCGGGAATATGTAGTTTTAATATACTCAAGAAACAAATCACATCTTAAAACCATGTTTTGTTTTGTTTACCTTCTCTTATACCAAGGTTTTTATGTGTATCTATCGATTTGATCTTGGATTTATTTGCAGATTTTGAATAAGAATAAAACATTTAGAGATATAACTTTGAGCTTCAAGGGCATTTTACAATAATTTTTTAAAAGATTTATTTATTTATTTTTAGAGAGAGTGGAAGTGAGGGAGAGAAACATCAATGTGAGAGGGAAACATCAACTGGTTGCCTCTCACACACCCCCAAATGGGTACGTGGCCCACAACCCAGGCATGTGCTGGGACTGGGAATTGAACCAGTGACCTTCCAGTTTGTGAGACAATGCTCGACCCACTGAGCCACACCAGTCAGGGCAATATCTCATAATAATTTTTAATCACCCATCTGATATACTGAAATTGATCCAAAGAAGGCATCAATTTAACTTTCTAAAACAGATGTCCAATCACTAGGTTGTCAAAGGAAAGAGATTTGTCACTCTTCGTGATAGCTAGTTTCAGCAATAATAAATTCTTTTACATTTCTTTTTAAATATATGTTTGATTGGACAGTTTCTCAAGTCACTTGTCTAGATTTTTTTAATCCTGAAAGCTCATAATGTTAATATTTTTCTTGTGCAAAATGTAGACATTTTGAATATACTGGTACGTATGTAGTAACAGCAAGTCAAATGAGCTAAATTCCACTTACTTTTGGCAAATAAATTGGAAGCTGAAGAGTCTTTCCCATCGTTATTAAAAGTAGACATTTTCTCCAAGGCTGTGAGGAGCTGTTCCCCTTGCTGCCTAAGCAGTTTCAACTGCAGAAGCCCTTTGCCACCACATGGATTCCTTCAGGAGACCAACTAGAGTAAAAAGGGAGACCTCATTACGTGGGACTCCAGGGCTTGATGGCAGATAGGAGTAGCATTGTTGGGGATTAATTATAGAAAATGAACCCACACCTTATAGTGTTCCCCTTCTGAGGATCACGTATCATCCAACAGTGCCCACTGTGGGGGCCTGAACACAACTGAGAGGGGATTTATGATGGGGTCACTCAGTACAGCGGAACTCCTTGGCTATTGATGCCCCAGCTTCCTCAGGCCTTGGTAGGAGCAGGCTGAGACTGTATTGGGATGGAAGACTTTTCTTTTTTTTTTTTAAAGATTTATTTATTTATTTTTAGAGAGGGAAGGGAGGAAGAAAGAGAGAGAGAGAAACATCAATGTGCGGTTGCTGGGGGCCACGGCCTGCAACCCAGGCATGTGCCCTGGCTGGGAACTGAACCTGCGATACTTTGGTTTGCAACCCACGCTCAATCGACTGAGCTATGCAAGCCAGGGTGGAATGGAAGACTTTTCACTGTTACCATTATTAATGCCAACTGAAACTTTGAGGAAGAGCTCTTGGACAGGAATGAGATTTCTGACAAATGCGGAAGAGTGAGTGATAAGGCAAATGCATCATGAAGTGTGAAAGGATTGAAGTGAAGACCTCAGGTCACCCCAACTGGAAGGCTTGAACCAATGAACAAGAGTCACACATTAAGAATCATTCTTCTCTCTTTCACCCTAAATGTCTCACCAACATGAGACAAATTTCATTTTTAAGATAATGTTTCTTTAGTACAACATAGGAGTTATAGTCAATAATATTGTAATAACTATGTATGGTGCCAGGTGAGGACTTTGTAAAGTATATGATTGTCTAACCAGTATGCTGTACTTCTGAAACTAATACAAAGTAATAGTGAATGTAAAGTGTAATTGAAAAAATAAATTAAAAAATATAATATTTCTTCATACCTCAGCTTTTTGCTTAGTAATCAGCCAATCACTAAAATCAAGTTCAGTTACCATTTAAAGAGAAATCTATTAAGTGTGTTTTGTAAAAGCAACAGAATATATTCTGTAAATATACCTAGAAATGGACCAATAATTACTTTGAGTTTTGGAGTTTTTGTTATCTTCAACTAATGCCTTGTCAAATAGCACTCACTTGAACTGTTATGTTTTCATAACATATGAGTTATTTAATATCATCATCTAAAATAAACTATGTATTAATGTCCTTGAAAAGAATTACATGAAGCATTATGGTAAATCACAGGTCACTACGATATGTACTTAATTAAAATATACTTAATTGAAATAACAGAGTTATCAACTTAAAGTCCAGAATTACTAGGACAAATGAGGAAAAAAACTTACTAAGAAATTCTTAGTATAATATTAATATTCCATCAATACTAATTTTCTAAAGTAAGCTATAGATTTTAATCACAGTTCAGTACACACAGAAGTTAACCCAGCTAAGAGATGTAAGCATTTAATAGTTTCACAGGTTGGAGCATGACTTTGAGGAAAGTCATGCACTTGATTTCTTCAGTTTCGAAAAATTGGCTCCTAAAGAAAAAGTACAAGGATGTCTTAGTAAAGAGATAAGCCTTTTGGGGCTAAATAATGTTCTAAGCAGAGTATCTTCAGCAGCGTTTATAGAAATATTAGAAATTACTACTATAAAACAGAGGCCAGGAGTTGTGCAGAGGTTCAAGTCCACAGTAGCCTGGCCTGTTTCCTTTCCCCTGGCTATGTCCATATCTAGAGCCATCACCTGGCCCCTCGAGGCCCTGCATGCAAGGTGTACCTCCAACAGCGTGTGACATTTTTATGTCAATGTTGCAAAAATAGCTGATTTATATAGTAATTGTCATAGACTCTACATAAAATCTTACAAATTAGCTCTTGAAAATGAAGAAACAAAACATAGTTTAATGGAAATACATGTCAGAAGACTTGGTTCTAGTCCCTGTTCTGGCGGTGGTGTGATAACAGCCATTTCTTTTATCTGAATGAGCCTCCATTTCCTTATCTGAAAAGGGAGGCAGTTAGATTTGGCTGCCACTAAAATGTCCACAAGAGTCAGAAGCATCTGAAGACGATAAAAGCATCAGAGACTGAGGACCCTGTTGGGATGCTGGAGACTGTGATAAATGGGTGGTGCCTGCGTCCTGTCGGGGACATTCGGGGACAGTTGATTGTCTCCAGGTGGGAATGCAGGCCCTCTAATTGCCATATCATCAGATTTTTTAAGAAAATATAGAAATTCAGATTTTTGTTTTTAAATGTTGACAGGTAACTTGAGACAGAGAGAGAGAGACCACTGTGAGAGCTAAACTAAACACATGTAAGGGTGGGATGGGGCCTGTGGCTGCCATTGTGCGCCCTCCGAGGGGAATGCCCCAGTCTCTCCCTGCTCTGTGGCTCTCTTGGGGGGTGATGGAACTGGAGGGTCCTCCTGACACCACAAAGCACTAATTCTGCATAATTCTAATTAATCTTCTTTTCACTTGGTTTCATTAGCATATGAATACAGTAGGGAATCAGAGCAACCACAGTCAGTGGGATGGATGCACTTTTACAAAAAGACAGCATATAAAATAAATGCTCTTCATGAGTGGGGATCTTGATGAAATGGTAGAGCTGTAGTGTGGTCAACGAGGCCATGACACAGAGCAGCCGGAAGCTCAGCTTGTAGCCATTTTCCCCTCGGCAGCTCCTGAGGAACATCTCTGAGTTGATTGCAAAGCCCAGTCCAAAGAGGACCCCGAGGTTTCTCACAAGTCCAGCAAAAGGTGTGGTGTCAATGTGGATCCAGTCGGGGTTGGCACACCACTTCTTGGCTATGGGCACAGACCAGAGCAGGTCAATGTCAAGCAGTCTGAGAAGCAGGTAAAAACCAAGTGCGAACAGGAAGAGGAAGAGGTTGGTCTTCAAGTATGTGCTCAGGCTGGCTGTATGGATGCCTGGAGTGTGTTCAAAGGCCTCTGCCACGAGCATGCCTGGAGATTAGAAAGAGAAACTGAAGGTGACTATGTACCCTTGAGCCCCAGGGAATCACTCCTCCCTGCACTAAAGAATTTAGCCATAGTTCTCAATGATAAAGGGCTTTAGACACCTAGGCTACATCTATCTTCCAAATCTTTCTTAAAACAGTAACTAAACACACACACGCCCAGTGGTCTTTCCACCATCCACATTAGGACAGGGTGATCTTTCAGGAACCCATGGCACTGAGTCAACCTACTTTATAGGCCGAGTGCTGATCTAGGTGCTTGCAATTAATATTTCAGTTGCCACAGCAATTAACTTAGCCTTTGAAAAGCATTTGGGGCTGAATGGCAGAAACTCAATCATGGTGAATGTTGCTTCAGGAATACAAAGAAGCTGTTAAGTGAAGTTCCCAGTCATGTAATAATCACTTCAGGTGTTTCAGAGAGTGGCGTGTTGTGTGGGTTGGAAGGCCATTAAGTCCCCCAAATCAAGACACAAGCAGGTTGTCTGAAAGGTGGTTTGGGAGTTGGACTTAGCTCTAGCCACACTTCAGAGAAGCCCATCTCACTGAGAGGTCAATGTTTATAGGGTGAAGTGAGACTGTGCCATTGTGCACAGGGAGGATTTCAGAGGTGCTGAACCATTTAAGCTCCCAGGGTAGCATTAAATATCAGTGGCTTAACAGAATTATCTAGGATGGAGAACTGATTACCAGGAAGAATCTGAGGACATAAAACAAATGACTCTACAGCTTTCAAATGACACGACCTAAGGTAAGTGATCATATTTACCACCAATCACTCCGAGAATAACTTGATGAGGAAAATGTGTTGCTATGAATACTCTGGAGATGCAGACACTGATTTGAATCAACCAAAAAAGACTCCAAAGAAATGACCAGGTCAGTCTACGATGGAAGAATAGATATGCGTGTAAAAAGCAAAGAAATTATATCACTCATAAAATTGGTGGGGTGGTGGTGACAGCAGATGACCTTTGTTAGAGGAATCGTCTCACATAACATCATGATTCTAGGGTCTTTTTCTTTTTTCTTTTCCCAAAATGTTGTTCCCACGTGCTCCATAAGATTTGAATAGTTTTAACCGAGGTTTCTCCATTTAGGAATGCGTTTATAAGTGCTATATCCTGATATCTTTTTTTAAAAGACTTTATTTATTTATTTTTAGAGAGGGAAGGGAGGGAGAAAGAGAGAGAGAGAGAAACATCAATGTGTGGTTGTTGGGGGTCATGGTCTGCAACCCAGGCATGTACCTTAACTGGGAATCGAACCTGCGACACTTTGGTTCGCAGCCTGCGCTCAATCCACTGAGCTACGCCAGCCAGGGCTATATCCTGATATCTTAATAAATACTATAAAGGGAAGCAAATTTGACATCCTAATAATTATTTTAATGGAGTAGGGGGAATTCAAGTTTGGTGAATTACTAATATCAGAATGATCAAGAATGAATTATACATATTTTTACTCTTTGTTACATGTGCTTCCTCTTCTTACTCTCAACCTTTCTATTGCTGAAGAAAGCTCACTGGAGAAGCAGCTGTCACTCAGATGACTAGTACGTCAGCATTTTATCAAGGGCGTAAAGTTTTCATTGGGTTTAAAGAATTGGTTGTTGAGATAGAGAAAATAAGGAAAAAGGGAATTGGCCTATAGGTTATATACTTTGGATTAGAAACAAGATACAAAAACTTATAAAAATATTAAAATCCAAACAATGCTCATCATTTTAATTAAAAAGAGAATAAGCAATATTGAACTTTAAGAATTTGAGGAGGTTCCTGATAATCAGACAAAACTTTGCTTATTGAAAAACTAAGGAACAGAGAGAAATGAGACTTCCAAAGAAGAAGTAAGCAGGGGTTAACCATATGGAAGAAAAAATAAGGATTTGGTATTATTAAGGTAAGGAGTAGGCACTAAACAAATTATGATAGATGAAGGAATTTTGCATTTATAAGCATTGAAAAAGAGGACAATTTTTTAGAAGAAACATATTTTCCCACATTTGGATATTGGAAGAAGAAATAAACTACAAGGTGAGGCTTATCTAGATTCCTACATTGAGAAATAGTCTATGGATAGAAAATGCTAATTTTTAAAAATTACAACTTTCCACTGTTGTTGTTTTGGATGATGAATACATTAAGGCATAGCATAGAGTCACAGCCTCATTAGAATAAACTTTAAATATGCCCAGATTCTTCTGGTCATTTCTTTCTTATATTACCCAATACTATTCTAAAATGTGGATTATATGATGAACCTTGGAAATTTTTTATTTAAAAGAACTTTTATATAATGGTATATGTTGTCATATTTTTAAAAACCAATTAACAGACATATCTTATCCTAGGTATCCTGATAATTTATGATTAAACTGGTTGGTGTTCAGAACTGTTTTAATGATAAATTATTCCAGGAAAGAAGAGAAGGAAACAGCTTAATTCCTACAAAAATTTTGAGTAATCTTACATTAAAATTCTAGGCCTTTCTAAATACTAAAAATCTACTAACATGAAATGTATTAACTTTCAAATTTAAGTTTGCCTGTAGAATGCTTTTGATTAAAATGTGTGCAACATCCTTAAAGCTGGAATATATGTTACTGATGTCAAAAACACTGGCTAGTCAAAAAGAGAAGAAAACTTGTACTGAATTAAAGGATTCGTTCAAGGGGAATGATGATTTTCAAAGTTTCTAGTTAATCTGAAAGCAAGAGAATGTGCATGCAAAATTATTTCCTTATATAATTTTAGATGACTTATTTATGAGATACTAAAGTGGTTATTATATTATGGAAACCCAAAGGCATATTTAGCAAATCATTAACCAATTAAACATTTCCAATCCTATAATGAGGCAATAGCTGTGAGTTAATTAGGACATTATCTTAAAGCGAAATATTAATTTTCTATTCATTTGCTATTTTGGTTGTGATAGAACAGAATGAGCATATTTTAACAACTAAAAGTATACTAAAGTGAATTTTTTAAAACACCTTATATGTTCAAAACTGTTGTATTCCATTGCTACAGACACTGGAGCAAAGCTGACCTGTGCAGAGTGGCAGATGACTTATCTATGTGACTGACACTGTGGCTCAGGGCAGCCGTCACCATGACATACCAGACGCACGATGAGCCCATTGCATGACCAGATGGACTTCCTGCAAAAGCAAAATTGTCGATCCATTTGGAAGGTAGTTAACAGAGCACCAACATCAGAAATGGACAGTATAATAGCATATTAGCCATGAAAATTACAAACAACTCAGAAAAATAAAACAGGGCACAAGCTGTATGTAATGTTTAGACATAGGTAGACATAAAGAAAATTGAGCCAAACGGAGCCTGAAAACACTACTTCAGAATTTTTTTCCAGATTTTTCAAGTTTATCAGATTCCAGAAATTAAAATGTTCAAGGCTAATTAAGAACTCAAGGTATTGTGCCCAACTCTGCCATATCTCTGCTCATTGTTAACATGTAATTGTTTTGAATTGATGATAAAAATAAAGTATTCATATTGGATCTTAAACCAGTTTATTTTCCTTGGGCTGTAAGGTCAAACGTCTAAAGGATATCACGCCTGCATGTGATTTACCAACTGACTGCTACCACTACGCCTATCTTGAGATGGGTGCTTCATGGAAGTTTTTGTTAGGTAATGGAAGAGAATCTGCAAAGGGGGCATCGATATTGGCAGAAGAAGCCTGCAGAGAGGTAATCTTTCTACTCCTAGCTGTCTTTCCCATGAAGCTTGATTTTTTTAAATCAGTTTACTTTGATAGAACACACGCTGGAAAGTGCTGAGATAAAACAAAGTAGCATTGCAATTGTTTAAAAAGTTATCCTTTCATTCACCATACATCTGTCCATCCATCCATCCATCCATCCATCCATCCATCCATCCATCCATATTACATTGATTTCACAAAGATAGAATACATACCATCCCCAACCTGATGGAACACAGTCTACTGTAGAAGCCAGATATATAAAGAATTAATTATGGTAATACACCAGAACTTACACATACATTATATTCAGGGTTAGTTTCAATGAATGTCAAATACAAATTTTCTGCTATGTAACAAACTATGGTGAGTTATAATATAACACAGTCTTGTAAATTAAACCAATGTCATGTATTTCCTTTATATATATATATAAACCTTTTTATAGTCTTAATGTCAACTTCCATGGTAAAGGTTTTATACTCATGTAGAGTCTTACTTATAACAAAAAAGGAAGTGGCCCAAGAAGTCTACTTACACACTATATCTACAAGGGAAAAAAATAAGTTTTAGAGAAATCACTCTAAGATCAGAGATATCTTTACTGGCAAAAGTAATACTGAGAAGTCCTTACCTTTCTTACTAAAAAATGTCCATTTTTTGCTCATTCATGAGATTTTTCAGAAGACCTATAATAACTGTGAAAGTTGCTCAGCAGTAGATAAATCAGCATTTCTAGGATTTTAAAATAGTTATTTGGCAATTCGTCTTAGCTAACTTTCTTGTTTGTTTTATTATCAAACCATTTCATTCTTCCAAAAAATAAATGCCAAATATAAAATTATGTAAGGAGTATTTTAACTTATCCTTTTACAAATAACACAGTGAAATCTGATTGCTCATAAAACTCCTTTCTGATTAGCAATTTTCATGCTTATGAACTTTCAGCATCCTCACTCATGACATTTTCTTTAAAACCCTATAGGGTATCATACACTTATTAAATAATAATCATACACAGTGACTCTCTGTTGGAATATCTTTAGTAATTGGAGGTTGCTGCAATTGCTTACCTGGGCCTGTTTCGCATGTCGTGGGAAACTGTTCAAGGCATGGACTTGAGTGATTTGGATAGATCTGAGTTTCTTGGACCCACCAGTAAGGCCGGTCACCAAATAATATCCTGTATTTGAAGAAATATAAATATGCAGATATATTTAAATACACAACTACTACTTACTTGGAGACAAGCTGTTTTTTCTTGCAAAAGTGATTTGGAGGGATGAGGGGGAAAACTCATAATTAAGAAACTGAAAGAACTTGGGTTCTGGTCTATCTCTCATTATAGAGGATGACATAGTCATTTGGGTTTCAGCATCCTAGTTTTCAATAAAAACAGGGATGTATTTTCCTGACAGACGGAGTCCTGTGGGTGCTTTGGGTGCTTAGACTGGGAATGTCAAAGTGGCCCCTGGCATCATCAATCTGTTCAGTATGGTGCGGCTCATTTAACTAACTTCTTGGCTAATCACAGTATAAGTGTTACAGGGCTTGGGAATTTATTTATAAATTAGTATACATTTGTATATAAATGTACACTTGTACGTAAGTATACATTTCTATGGTTTTTGTAAGTTCTATTTATGAATCTGTGTTTCAAGTTAACTGGTATATTTGAAAGATTTTCCAAGTAAAACTACACATATCTAAAGTGCGACCATTAAGCCAAACCTACAAATTTAAGAATAAGCTTTAGGAAAAACGAAACAAAACAGAAGTCTTACCATTTAAAAATAAGATTGAACCAATCCCCAACGACTGCTACCCATATCATCTTGGTTCCAACTGTCTGATTAAGTTGAAACCAAAGAGGAAAATAAATAGAAAAGATATTCCGAGGGTCTCCAACATTGGACATAAAACTTAGAAAATTGTAGTAAGCTCGGTAGTCCTTCTGCAAATGCTGAATAATGAGCACTCCATTCCTATGAAGGAAATCCATCTTAAAAGAGAGGCAGTTCTAAACATAGAGCAGTTGGAGCTGAAGTGCTCTGAGTCCCACCATTTTTATATGCCACCCTTGTGGCGTGTCCAGCCATTACTGCAGCATGTGATGCTGACCATCTGTGGAAAGGGCACATGGGCCCTGGTCTGCTGAAAAGCTCATTTGTTTGTGATTTTAATTGGAGCTGAAGAGGTAGAGTGCATGCTGATCTGGAACAAGTCAAGGGGAAATTTGTGTAGGGATACAATGAATTTCTTATGCAACTTCCCTTTTGTGTGAACAGTTGGATTGTGTTTGCTTGAAATTTTTTGCACAGTTCATTTCCTTCAAGGGCAGAGACATTAGCAATTTTTATGCTTGGCTAGAAGACTAGGCAAATAATTACTGTATGTCAAATAGCCCTTAAAGCCATGCATTTTAATTTAAAATAGACTGTGGCTCTTTGACTATTTTATTGGGTTTTTGAGGAAAACAGATGAATAAACATCTGGGCATGAAAAATTATGTGATACAACAGATTCTTTTCTGATTGCAGACCTTTAAATTAAAATGTTTTTATTTTTCTTTATTAGCAAAGAGAATGATATATATGTCACAGAGAAGGAAATAAATGCAATAAATGAAATCTGGAAGGAAATGTGTTGCCTTTTAATTACAAGGCAAGAAAGAAGAGATGGAAGTCACTTTGCTAATAGAAGTATGTTAGGACTGAGTCATATTACTGTGGGCTAGAGAATACAGTTGAAAGCATTGAGGAGTGCTTGTGTGAAAGACAGGAATATACTTCAAAAAACTTTGGACTAATCAGAGGATGGTTTGTTGGCAATAGAGTTTTCAGTAGAATTGTGTGGGACACACCAGAGCCAACATGCAGATTGGAAATAAACAAAAGGGCAACTCAGAGAGAACCAGGGATCCAAGTCAGAAGTGAGATGCTGGATGTAGAGAGCCCAATTACTTCTGTGCTGATTCCTGTGAAAGCAGTTTAGCCCCACCAGGTGGCAGAGGGTGGAGGTAGGTAACTGTACTTATCTTCCCATTCAGATTGTTGTCTTTGCTAATCACAGCCTCTTTGACTAGGAACCACCTTCACAGACTATAAATATCAACTTGAACTTCTGCAGTCCTGCCCCACCAGTGAGCAGCACCATCATACCTTCCCACACTCTGTTGATTCTCCTAGAAGAAACACTTTGATTAACCACTAAATTCTTTAGTGTGATTTTTTAAAAGACTTTATTTAGTTTTACAGTGATGGGAAGGGAGGGAGAAAAAGAGGTAGAAAAACATCAATGTATGAAACATACAGTGATCAGTTGCCTCTCACATACCCCCAAATGGGGACCTGGCCCACAACCCAGGCATGTGCCCTAACTGGGAATTGAACTGGCAACATTTTGCTTTTCAGGCCAGTGCTCAATCCACTGAGGCACACTTGCCAGGGCTTTAGGGTGATTTTTTAAAATGCCATACCTTTGTCCTATCATAGTCAGACTAAATATCTGGTGGTGGGACTCAGGCATTGGTATTTCAAAATTACATTCCAAATGATTCCAATGTACAGTCAGGGTTGAAAATCAATGTTATAAAAAATTCATACTTGCTCTGTCTGGTGTGGCTCAGGTGGTTGGAATGTCTTCCTGTGGGCCAAGGGGTTTTGGGTTTGATTTCCAGTCAGGGCACATGCCTGGGTCTCAGGTTTGGTTGCTGGTTGGGGCATGAACGAGAGGCAACTGGTCAGTGTTTCTCTCCATCTCTCTCTCCCTTCCTTCCCTTCTTTCTAGAATCAATGAGCATGTCCTTGGTGAGGATTAAAAATAAATAAATGCATAAATAAATACATGAATAAATACATAAATAAATAAAATCTACTTTCTTGGAAAAAAAGAAATTCATACTCTACCTGTTTTCCTTTCAGCTGAAGCCCCGCCCCCTGCCAAAAGTCAACCTAAAAGAAGCTTCAATGACATTTAATATGTAAATTATTTGATGTAATTGGATCTTCCTGTTAAATTTGCTTTTTGCACTAGCTGATCTATCTTGTCAAGACCTCAGAGAATCTACCTCTAGAAAAAAAGGAAAACCTAATCTAATGAGAAATTATGCAGCTGGTGATGGTTCGTATAAAAATTCGGTATTGTGGGCCAATGGTGACAAATGAAATGCACTCCTCCTAAAACACAGCACGATGATGACAACTTTCCCCACTGAGTTTTCTGTGATGGTCACCTGGAAGGAACTTAAAATACAGCCTGGTTTCTGTGGGTGAGAACTCTGATCTGACAGTCACAAAGAGTAAGACTGCAAGCAGCACCATGTCATTTTTCAGAAAGTAACTTTAAATGGCTGCCAGGAAATGAATATTAATCTCTATCCATAATGGGAGCCTTACCAGTCTCCTTTATCATTCTTATCATCTCAGTAGGAGCGTAACCAGGAAATAGTCAGCCAGCACCGGCCTTCCCACATTTTGCTCTTCCCCCTGGCAGCCCATGAATTATACCGACTCTCGGTTCTCCCACTAGTATGCAAACCTCATTTGAATGATGCGTGCATTGGTGTAAAATTAATTGTGCTGAAAACTCAATTGTGCATTAGAAAGTCTTGCATTTATGCTCTTCCAATTATTTAAAATACTCTATCGTTTATCCTTTAAAAACACTCATTTTGTTATCTAATTTTAACTCCACAGTGGTCTGGTAATCCTCATTTTTTTGGATAAGGAAATTGACAAATAATCTACCCCAGGTCATTTCTTTAGTGCAGCACTCTTGTTTGAAGACTAAATTTTATTTCCAGAGCAATGGCTTCTTCCTAGTCTAGGCTGTATTCAGGTTGCCTAAGGCCAGCGCTGGTGAGATTTAAACCTGCTGCAAAATGAATAACAGCTGATGCTATAACCAGCTTGTTTCAAATGCTTTCAACTATCCAGACCTCCAATTCAGGTGTCAGGTGTATCATCATTCCAACTATAAGGCTTTTCTGTGTAGTCCTGTGAGTTAGTTGATACGTAGGCACAACTGGCCAGCTACCAGGTCACTACAACTTCGTAGACATAATCACCACTTTGAATTTTTCTGTTAGATGGCTTATCCCATCATTCGACAGCAGGGATACAGTTGTTATGAGGTTTCAGTGGCTGCTGTTAACCTTTCCAGCCTCTGACATCTTCCCTGCAGGAAATATCAAGTGGCACTAAGACGAGCACCTCGGAGTTTGAAGGTGTCTCTGATTCCCATCCTCTTCTGATGACCCAGCAGACATTTTCTTCTTTGGAAACAGTCAAGTATGGGAGTAAGTGAAGGACACCCAATGAGAACAAACAGGCTATTTATTCTGAGCTTGCTATAGCAAGAATTAGCCACTATCACTTGCATTTGACAGACTTAGAAACAGGCAGGGGAGTAGGAAAGCTCTGTAAGGAAAATGAGGAAGGACACTGGTTCGCTCTGGTTCAAGGTTGTTGGCATGGGCAAGCAGGAGCTGAGTTAATTATATAGAAGCAGAGCATCTTATGTGATTGGCCAGGATACAATATTTGACTTTCTCTGGTTGATCCCGAGCTGGAAGCAGGGGCAAAACAATAGTGAAACTGGCAGTCTTGACCAAGCCCTGACCATTCTGGGAAGATTGCTTCAGAGGTTGTGAATCAGAGTTCTATTGCCATGTTTGGTCTAGCCACTGTCCATTTGTATATTCAATCTCTCACAAGGCAAATTGAATAATCAATCAAATGTCAGAAGTAGTTTGTGTGGCATCCCACCAAGAAATAATGGAATCCCTTGTCTAGCCAATGGTTCTGTAATTCTTATGATTTGTGGAGTTAAAATGAGGGCATACAGTTGCTTACCAAAGAAGAATCAATTTATTCAGGTATATAACTACTCTATCTGAGGTTTTAACCTTGACTAATCAGTCTTTGCTATAGGCTTTTGGTTTTGCCTATTCAGGTTCTATAATTTCCATAACCTCTTTGATGAGCCATAAGAAAGAACATTACTTCCCTTTATTCTTTTTTTCTAAGAAGTGTTTGAGCTACATATTTTATAATATTCATTTTCTTCAGAAATGTTCCTAATTCAGTGTGTGAATAATATCAAATATATTTTGTCTTACGATTAAAATTTTAACTTTATGCTCATTCAATACTTCAGAGTCTGTGGACTGCGATGAAATTGGCTGTTCATGAGCTTTCATCTTATGTAGTTAATTCAGAAAGACTGTCTCCCAAAGACTATTTGGTTCTGTAGGTGGCAAGATAACTAAGCAAAGCAAAGTACCTTTATTTCTTTTGCCTTCTAAAAGGATCTCCTGCTATGTGTTTTTCCTATAGTTCATTATTTTTAGTCTTTATTTCTTGGCTTATATGTACTTCCTCAGAGATGCCTTCTCTGATCAGAATCCTTACCATTCTTTCAATGGTGCTTTCTCTGAAACACTCTTTTATTTTAGGGAGTTGTACTAGTCTGCTAAGGTTGACATATGAAGTACCAAACTGGGTGGTTTAAACAACAGAAAAACATTTTCTCACAGTTCTTGAGGCTACAAGTCTTAGATAAAGGCGTTGGCAGAGGTGGCTTCCTCTGAAGCCTCCCCACTTTGCTTATGGATGACCATCTTCTCCCTGTGTCCTCGCATGGTCTTCCCTGCGTACAGGTGTATCCGAATCTCTTCTCATGACAACACCAGTCACACTGGATTAGGGTTCACCCTAATGACTTCACTTTAACTTAGTTAGCTCTTTGAAGGCCCTATGTCCAGTCACATTCTGAGATACTGAGGGTCACGATTTCAACATATGAATTTGGGGGCTGGGGAAGTAATTCAGCCCACAATAAGGATTTAATTATACTTCATAATTTTTCATATATCTATTTAGCTTTTGTGTTTAATCTCTCTTTCTTGAACCACAGTACAAGCTCCATGAAATTAGGGATCATATTTACTTTGTATACCAGCTCTAGAACAATCCCCAGCACAGGCCCATGTGAGGGCTGATTTTCCATGAAGCTAGTGAAGTTTGAATGGGCTCCTGGCATGGCAGAT